TTCCCGAGTCTGTAATATATTTCAGTGGTCAGAAAATCTTAAGCATTCGGCAGTCGACATCATTCGGTATATTTCCGGTTTAAAATGGGTGGCCTATTAAATTAAACTTAAGAGTGCCACCATTGGAATTTTGAATTTAAAAGACCCGAGGTGGTGAACTGCACTTTTACTTAAAGTGCTCCTAATCACGACTGCAGGTGATGCAACAAATTAAAAGCAACATTACGGATGCCGAAGTCTAAATGTCTGCCTAAGCGTGTGATGGGGGAGATGCAGGTTTTAAAAGGAAGTGTTTGAAATTCCTGATTTTTGTAACTTTTTATTTCTGAAGAATGCGTGTCTGGTACAAAACGCTTGTACTCTGGGTGCACGTTAAAACGTATTTGGCATTTCAGGTTGGTGTTTTGATGTACTTTAAATGTCTAAAAGGCTGCAGCAATCATTTTCTGGCATAAGGCTGTTGCGGATATCTCATGAACCAAGATGTTATCTCCCTCTAGCACATAAATCCGACAACTGGAGTGTAAGCCATTTCTACTGTGGATAAAGCTTCCGTTTCAGGGTTAGGATAGAAATCCACATGGATTGCAGACCACACGAATCTGATGATGTATTTTGTTTTTGCACGCACTTGAAAATTATTTTGCTGTTTTTGTTCCATCTATGATTTTATAATTTCTTGAGAAGACAATAGGTCATTTACTGTATAGTCAGTTAAATCGACGGAAACGATTTAAGCTAATAAAAGATGCATATAGGAGCTAAGGTAACTCTGTACCTGAAGTAAAAAATGCAGAATATGTGTTTGCTTCTTGGGATCCAATGATTATTGTCAATTGTTTAGACCTTGTGTTAAAATAGCCTGTTACTATTCTTCATAAAATTGCGAATACATATATTTAATTTACTGTAACTTATAATCAGCTGTCAGTAAATGGGGCTATGGCATTATTCTGTGCAAAGACAGCGCAATTACACTGATACTTCCGATTGTATTAGATTTTTCCTGAAATTAAAAAAACCATACTGTATATAACGTCAAGGTAGATATATTATTTGCGAAGCAGTTGCTCATACGATATGTTGTATAAATGAAGCTCCCTGAAAGAAGATTGAAATGTATTGACTGGACAATATTTTCATAGAAAAAAAATAAATGTAATATAATGCAATGTTTTGCGAAGCAAAGGTAATGAACAGGACCACGAGGAAAGTCGGGAACTGCCCTCACTATTTCAGCTTTGCGGTATTTGCGCAGAATAGCTCTCTTTACGTTAATAAAATACACCACTGGCCATTTTTCTTCGACACTGAAGGAAACAGACACAATATATTACATTCTCTGTTCTATTATTTGTTTTCCTTAGCTTTTCTCAGCTCCTCCATCGTCTCTGTACGGCTTAATTTTATTCCATTGCCCGTGGCCCAGTGAATGAATGAACTTTGCGTACGTTACTATTAAATTACTCTTTTTTAATCTAAAAACCTGAAAGATCAACTGAAATTCAGTGACCCTTAAACACACCAACATAAAAGGATCATGAAAGCCTGTTATATTTCCCAGTAAAGGTGGACTAAAGGATCGGTGTTAGTCAGGAGAAGTAAAACCTGTAAAGGAATCGTGTTTAATAGGTGTTCATTAGGTGAATGTATCTCTGTCCTAACCGTTTGATCAAATTAATTCTAATAATAAATTGCTGGAAAGAGAGTTATTGATGTGTAAGAGAGAAAGAAGCGGATATAACTGCGGCCTGGACTGCAAAGCACCTCTCTTCCGGGGTCTGGGCCAGCATCCCTCCCTTCCTGAGCTCAAACCACAGGGAAATGGCAACAATCTGGAATGAAAATACTCCAAATATGTGTTTTAGCAGAGCTATCGGATTCTAAGAGCTCGTAAAATTCAGACGTTTAAATGACGCATAAAACTATACCCCAATGAGCAAACGTTGACCAACATGTTTTTTTTTATAAGCATGCATGCAATTAAATGCTTTTTAAGGTGTTGCTTGCTAAGAAATAATTTGCCCTATACGAAAGCGAGTAATTTCAGAGACTTGCATAATACGGCTTTTGGGGTGTTTTTGAAAGCATTCGTATAATGAGGAAACAGGTTGCGGTTTCTCACTTAAACATTTGCAAATGATCAAATCTTGAACATTGATCACAGCAGAGAGATCTGAAAATTCGTTACAATTGTATCACCTTACTTTCTTTGAATTACCAAAATATCCTTATCACACGAATTAATGGGCTGGCACGAAACGCATCTTTCCAGAACCTTTGTGCAAAATATCAAAATTCTGTTTAACTCAAGTTCTATACTGCATGGAAGCAGTCAAACGTCCTGTATGAATTATTTTAGATTTATTGTTTTATAGCACAGTAGTGTTCTTTTATAGAAGCTGCTGTAAGTGAAGAATGACGCAAGAGTGAACTGACATTTATTTTTTTTTCCTATTGATATGAAACACAACACTACATAGAGGCTACATAAAAATCAACAGTTACATTACATTTTACGGAACATAGTTGCAATTCACTGAGGTCGCGTCATCGTGAAGCAATTCTGACCCCGTTTATTGAAAATATTTGTTCAAAGCTGTTTAAACAATTCGTCAACATGAGAAGAAAACGAATATTCCTTCTGGTTTTGGGCACTACACATTATTACAAAAAGCAAAACATTGCACTCTGTCTCAAAAACAGTTAACTGTCCAAATAAAGACCTGTAAGACTTAGAATAGACCTATCATGTCTATGAAAAAGGAAACAAATTTAAACTGATTTTACCTTCATAATCAGCTTTCGTATATTACTGTAATATAAGTAGGATTCTGGGAAGAACTGCTTAAAAGCAACTGTTGAACTAATAGATCGTTTTTACCGACTTGATATACACACATGAATAAAATAAATGTTCTGTGCCATAAGATGTATATGCTAATGATAGTCTGTGCTTTAAAATATGGCTTAATTCCATATACTTTGTGTCATTTCCATTTTTATGTGACGGAATCTGGTCTATACAAACTTTCCAGTTTAATCCAACTGTATAACAAAATTATACATCTAGTGTAGGTTTAAGAAGAAGCATCATCCGTGATCATGGGAGTTATACTAAAGCTGTTTTAGGAATCTCAAAGAGCAGAGTATTGCCATTCTAGAGGGGAAAACTCGCTCTTTAATGAAAAAGGCGCTGGGAAATTCCTAGGAACTTCTTGCAAAAAAAAAATCAATCCCATTTAACGTGATCATTTTTGATTGAATAAATAGGAACATTTAAGGAAAGTCTTACATTTGTGACATTCTTGGAATCGATTCTGATTTCCCAATACCTGTAACTCCTTAAACAATCTACTCTCCTTAGTGAAAATGAAAGCTTCCGTACAATTATTGTATTTTATTACCGATAATAATGAAAAATTAAATCTTGTGGTCTCATTCTGTAATAAGAGATAATCTTGTGACTCCTAGATCCTGACGGTTGTGCATGGGAACCGCCGTGTCCCAGTGGCGTTACGTTATACCTGAGCTAAGGTGCACAGATCAGGGTAAGTAAATCGAGCTTTTTTATGGCAGTAATATTCGGGGTTAAGGTTTACAACCGAGTCTGCTTTAACCCATGGGTGGTCACTTAGGTTTTGACCGTGAATTACATATCCAGTATTTACTTGTCTTGGAGAGGAGTATTTTAGATTGCTTAATCACTCCAACTCTGAAGAGGATAGGTGAACATGCAGCTGGTCTTGAGTTACTGGTATGGGAGTCTTCAAATACTCATCCAACAAGTAAAAAATAAATAAATAAAAAGATCCATATGCTCAACCACTTGGCACTTTTGCACATTTACATAATCATGACCCCCCGCTGTCCCTAATTTAGCGTTGGTGTCGAAAACATCATAAGGGGAATTTATCTGTTAAAGAGCGAAATTGTAAGCCATGAATTTTAAAAGTAAAAATGTCCACAAAAGAAAAAATAGTAATATTAAATATTAGTATTCCATTCTTTATCATTTCAATGCGTTTTCCCCCGCGTGTTTATTCCTATGCTTTAAAGAAACCGAATTAGTTCGGTAATTTACGCCTGACAGTTTAATGTAATACCAGCAGAAAAGTAGAATTAGCAGATGTGTACCTACTGACAACCATGGAATCAACAAACCTATAGCAATGCAAAAGACAGAGAACTGGCTCAATACAAATCTTTCTGTCCAGTCATATTTAGCACTCTATCACAAGAGAAAAATACATTTAACAGCGTAATATAAATACATCAATTAATGCAAACCCATTCTACCCTGATGTAAGTCTGCATTTTTCATAATATTGAGTGAAACTTATGTCCAATGATCTTTAATGCTTCACATTTCTGACCATATTCATTCATGTATAAAACCAAAAATTGTAATGATTCTGTCTCGTCTTCTTTTGTTTAGAAATCCAGTTTAACTGTAAATATAAGATATATCTGTATGCGGGAGGTAGCAATTACATTTTGTTACTTGCCTACGAATGATATGGTTCATTAAGACGATTTGAAAATTAAATAATTAAAGCACATTGGTTAAAATCTAGATGCATGGAATGTAAAGATTTCAAGAAAACAAATCTTACTTTTAGGCAATCTGTTTTGTGTAAAATGTGACATTTGTGTAATTAGGAGAGGTTATAACATGTTTTTCTACTTTTCTACAGCGTCCGCTGCTATGTAGAAAACGTTTTAAGCACGCAGAACATATGGCTCAAGAACGAAAAATTTATTCATTAGAAAAGTGACATTAGAAATACGGTTATATACCGAGTTCTACGTAGAAAGTAGCAAGTCGGTACACAAATAATTTTTCAAGCTTTTTTTTCAAAAACAGAAATTTCCTTACGCCTAGTCTGACTAATGTGGTGTTAAAGTCTAATATTTCTCCTACCAGCACAAAAAAGTAATATTTTTTTCGAAAAAAAAAATAAACGATTGGATGTCAAATTCATTCGTATCACAACGTGTTTTATTTAGTATGAAAACATATACATTGAAACATTGTAACATCGAGGCGCTCAAGTCAACTGGGGAAAAATAGTTCGACGGTAAGACCAAAAAAATAATAATTTAAAAAAATTGTAGCTGAATTCATAGTATTTATGTCCGATACAGACACCGTACAACCTTTTTTTCTTTGTAGTTATGAATACGCCTGTACAGCAAGAACCTAAATGGTTTCTAAGAAGGTTAAACACCTACCGACACAACAGACGCACGATGCCGTTCATAGATGTGTACATCACATGCACAAATATATAAAACAGGTGCAACCGAAGGTGATACTTACCACATCACTAGGTTTAAGTGGCAATTTGTCTTCTGGAAGGCTATGTTAAATAATGCTGTTTTATTGTATACAACTGCAAAGTAAATTGGAAGTCGGATCTCCTGTAAATAAAGGAAAGATATTTCCGGATGCAAAATATTTGAGGTTTGCGTATTTTTTGGTTTTGTTTTTGTGGTTATATAAAAATGGTTGGTGAAAAAGGGGGAAAAGATGCCCTGTGCAGAAATCACCCACCTGGAATCCGGCACCTCTGACTGTATTCCGAGCACAGTGTACACAATGCCTGAAAGCCTGCTGTGCTGTGTACGCATTGGGCAACATATGAAACGCAGTGACCGCATACCCGGGGTGCTAAATCATCTCTTGTAAAACCATAGGCGCTATTCATTTTACCTTAAACCTATTGATGGATCTTAATTACTGGTGTCAAAAATAACTGAAGGGGAAAGATGGAAAAAAAAATGGTAGGGCCAGCAGAAGTTAAAATAGAGAAAGGGGAATGTCTAACATCCACAAACTAAATTTCTGCCTCTGGGGAGAAAACAGAAAAAATAAGTAAAATGCAGAAGGAGGAAAGGTCGACCAAGACTCAAATAGAGTGTATGTACGCATTATAATATATCTAAAAACAAACGCCACAGAATTAACTATGACTTCAAAGTAATGTGCTAAATCTAGAATAACACCAAAATTTCACAATTGCTCAGCAGCATTTCATACTTTACCTTGCATCTCCAATTTACGATGTCACGCTTTATTTTATTAATTTTAAATCAAAATCGATACTTGTGTTGATAAAGATCGCCTTAGAAGCCGGGATGCAACCTTGACCCCTTTACCCCGTGCAGTGTCCAGTGCGAGACCGGAGCCCGCAGGTTTGCGAAAATAGAGTTATAGCTCTTAAAGGGGCAGCCGAGGAGGGGGAAAACGGAGCTGGGGATGGTGCGGAGAGAAGGAGGAGGAGGGGAAGAGATAAGTGATCTAAAGGGGAGACGATAGGACAAAAAGTGATGATGATGAATACATTGGAAAGTTTTTTGGCCCTGGCGAGGGTGTCAGATTGAATGGCCTGTGCGCATGTGCGAAGGTGTCCAAACTGACAATGCTTGTGAGATGAAGATAGTGTTGTTGCTGCTTCTGGGCTCAAGGAGGACGAGAGGAATCTACAAGCCGACAAGATGAGATCCAAGGCAAGGGCGAGAAAACTGGCCAAAAGTAGGTCTTTTTTTTCCTTCTTCCACTTTACCCCGGCAGCTAGATCCTCCGGGCTTCTCGCGCAGATCACAAAGGTGTTCTTTTCATAGATCAGGTCCTGCGAGAAACGCTCCTTTGCCCTTGTACATATTTCTGTTTTCTTTCTTCACAATAATTTCAAAGCTGAAACACACCAGAGCCTGGATGTCCTCGCTGTTTTCTGCTGCGGCTGCCACGGCTTGCTCGTTCACAGCGGCTGAAGTTTTCTATATGATGAAGCTGCAACGCTGGTGTTTGTCGTTGAAATTAGAAGGAGAAATAAAAGGTATCTTACAGAATTCCTAGCGGTTGCGACGCTGTAGGCTCGGCGATTTCTGTGCGAGGAGGTTAGAAACTGGATAGAATCGTTAAAACGAAAGTTAACTAAAAGTTGACGAAAGGGATAGTAACTTTTTTATTGAGTCGTTCCAAGTCTTGTGAAATAATATTCCTGGGTTTTGAAATAGTGGGCGCTCTAGCACTGCTCATGGCAACACGACTTGTAGAATCCAACGAGAGAGCAGGCTTTAACACACGCACTCTGAAATCAGGGGGACGAGTTATTTAGGAGAAACATTCTGTAGGAAAATGGCTATGGTTTCATAAAGCTTTTTCTGCCTTTTTTTCCTGTCAAAAGAAAATGCACCTATGGAGTTTTTTTTTCTTCCTGGGCAGTGGTGTTTCAATTGCGTTTTGATTTCATCTGGGAATAGCAATCAATATTGTTCCTGGTACAAGAAATGTATTTTGCTGGACTGTTGCTTACTTCGTGGTATTTCACATGGGAAATATGTTGATTCTTTTAAGTCTGTCGTGTAAGCAGTTTGTTTTGCGAAAGGGACTGTGTGGCTTTTAATTTATGAAGTTTAGAGACTACTGCACGATCGGACTTCTGTGTAATGGCTAGGCTTTTACTTTGACGTTCATCGTAGGCTATATACAGTATCTTGAAATGTTAATGTATTAAAATGTGTGTCCACTTTTCCTAAGTAAAAATTCTAAAATAATCCAAACGATCACTGGTGTTTCTTAAAAATGTATTGATGACAGTATATCCGCTATTTGCGTTCGGTATTTATAACAATGAAGCACTTACCCGGATTTGAGTTTCAAAATGCACTGTTTTTCAGGTAAGTCTCTAAAAAAAGGACTGAAATCTTATAATTAATTTTGATTGTAAGTTAAAGCCTCAATTTTAAACAGCTTGGCATTTCAACAAAGCTGAATGTCAGAAAACTATGAAGTTTCTTATCTCTTAGTTGCGTATTTTACTTTTCAGTTTACGAGCGACAAAAAAGTAAACTGCATTTCTCATATTTAAAATGAAGGAAACAACACATTCCTAAATGCAGTTATTCTATAATCTCCTATTGTTTCATAAACCGTCTACAGATCTCTCAGATCTCCACTTAAAAACTAGACTTCTTCGCGGATTGTATTGTACTGACATGCGATACTTTATATAAATGAGAAAATGTTTTGTTATATATTAGGGTGCACCTAGCCAAAGCAATATTATTTAAGCTAGTTTCAGTTTTTGTTTAAATCTGTGAGAGGCAGGCTTACACATACCTACGTATCAACATGAATGGGAACCTTGTACTGTACATATAGTTTCGAAGTACTTTTTTCCACTAGCTTAATACCATTGTTGATTGGATCGCTTAAATTTACTGCACTCAAAAATACTTATCGTCTAGCAATTTAATAATATACTATAGACGTCCTGTGCTTTCTTTAGTGAGCCCTAATCATCTCTTTTGGCATTAATTAAATTTCTTGTTTTAAGTAACTCAACTATGCACACGTGTCGGTGTCAAGACCAGAGGTCAGGTCTCTTTATGTGTTGTGATGCAAAATTCTAAACGCACGGATGTAAACGCTTATTTGTAAAACCTTTCTGAGAACAGATGGACACTTTTATCCAGCAAAGACCAACGCACAGTGGCTGTGCTGGAGTGAACAATTTAATTCTTTAGAAAGTGCTGCAGTTATTAAGCGGCCTATCGCGAGGAATTATTGCTAATGCTATCTGAAAGTGAATAAGAGACTTTAATTTCTAAGTGACGGAGCTTTTAAATGCATAATGTATTACAATGACTTGCGCTGCACTCAGAATTGTTCCGTATACCCACCCCCAATACACACCCTCCCCCAATTTAAATAACTTTTTAAAAACACGAAATCAAAATGACATAACATGAAAATAAACCATTTTTTAATCCTCAGCATCGATTTACGTGCTGTTGAAAATGCATTTATTTTGAAGTGTTTTCTGTTTCATATTTCGAAAGTATCAACATACATCGCAAGTGGAACAGTGCTGTGCATTACATAAATATAAGCTAATTATTTGTAAAATCGTTTCAAAATGTTATATATATATATTAGCTTTCGCTGCTTTGGCATAGGATGCGAACTTCACCCATATATTGTGGGTTTTGAAATGGGCACAGAAAATTCTCTGTTAATATTATGGAGAGATTTGCACACGTTGAAAGGAAATTAGTCGACCTATATTAAGAATCATCGGCTTAGTTTCGAACACTTCACCAAAATCCTCAAGGATCCTTTAGATTGTACCTCTTGTACATTTCCTTAATTTATGTTGATAGGGTGAAAGGCGCAGTGATCAACTGTTGTCTTTACAGATCCTCCACGATTAATTAAAATGATTGGGGAGTTCATTTTTTAAGTTACTGTACCTTTACATCTAGGTTACATAAAATATATTTACACCGACACTGCGTGCAGATCTAAGTATGTCAGTGTAACAACCTGAATAATAACGTTTCAAAACATGGGAATGTGGAGGAAAAATTATATCCAACTAATTAATCTTTGAAAAGACTAGACATACATCGAATGATTTTGTTAAACCCCGACATAGTAACATTTCTAGGAAAATGAAAGTTTACCTATATGCATTTATTGAGTGAGTTACAATATTAACCTGCAATACAGTAAAGTAAGAGATGTGCTGTGCAATTGCAATTGATTTTTAAGGAATGTGAAATAATTTAATTATTTACACTGGTTAGTTTTCCAAATTATTAAAAGTGGAAATCTGCATAACATACACGTAGTCCGTACAGCATGTACTTGGGGAAGTCTGGTTTTTGTTTTATTTGACCTTCACATTACGATTTTCAATTTGTTTTTGGAAGTAAAATTGCAAATTATAAACAGTACAGTTCCCGGGTTTTATACTCCGTTAAAGTACAACAGATTTAATTTATTTTCATAGCACTGGAGTTGTTTGTTTGAGATGAACGGACTGTGAAAAGCTGTTCAAACACCTTTGCTGTCTGACGAACACATACCCGTTTTTTGCAGTCCTTTTTCTGCCAGCAATTTTTGCAAGTGGTAACCTATTATTCTGTATTATTAGTCTTTAAATTGGCAACATTGCTGAAAAGTGCCTTATGCCCACTGAAAAATAATTTAGTTAAGACGTTGAAAACAATCCGGTATAAATCAGCATAAGTATTGTTCTTTTTGTAAAGAGAATTTAAAAGCCAAGGTAGATGAAGGGGAAAAGACGAATTTCTAGTGCTCCGTTTTGTAATTCCTATAAGGTCATTACAGGTCCTTTCAGAGTTACAATTCCAGTGACATTAATGCAAAGCAGGCATGATTCAAACTAGTAAAAAAAAAGGTGAAAGGAGAAAAATTTAAACTCCAAATCAAATTACCAGTAAAGTGAAGGAAAACGAGCAAAGACATGCTGAACAGAGAAGAAAATAGATTTTTCTCTAATTGCAGCAGAGCGTTTTATTGTACTAAGAGGTACTTGTTTTCTTTAGATCTATTGGGAACTTTAAAGGAATTTTATTACGACTTGTACCACCTTGGCTGAGTGATCTATTTTGTTTTTATTTGTTCTCATCGGACGAAGTCGACAACATACCAATACTCAGACATTTTGTTACTTTAATCACAGATAGAAATAACCATTATTTGTAGCATGCATTCGTATACACTACGTTGTTCCAAAGTGTAGGTCTTTGCGGCAAGAACGCTCGAGTGCCAGGTAATGTGAACTTAAAGAATTATCTGTGACAGTTGAGAGTCTTAATATTGAGATGGCTGATTTCTCACGTACAAGTGGCAGCACACGTAATGGAAGTGCACTACGACGATGTCATGCTTTAAGAGAAGCAATGATATGTTTGCAGGCGTGCGGGCGTAACTGTACCTGTACTGTCAATATCGCTTTCAAAGAAGTAGGACTTGTCCATAATATTAACAGTAGTACAGCGTTCATCCCCAAGTCACCTCCAGTGTCGAAGCGCTTCTGCCCCACACTTATTAATATTCTGTGCACATTTCTGTGGCTATATGTTGTCTCACATTTTGGGTAATCCACGCCTTTCGGCGAAAGCTTTATGTTAAACAACTCTTCCAAACAGGTGAAAAACATACATGGGCCTATAGCAATCCGCCTATGTGTTTACAAGTACAACGACATACATTTGACTCTTTATTTTAGACCCATATTGATATATGAAATGTTATTCAAATTTTCCAACGGGAATATGGTATTTTGATACAGGGAGAGAAATACAGGCTTTTAATAAACTGTCTCAGGTGTTACTCCGAGCTGTAGTTGAGAGGCCTTTCCTGGTTTGGATAATACAGCCCTTCAATCGTGTCTCGGAATTTTCTTTTAACATTCTTTTCCCACCAAAGGCCGGGCGCTCAAAATACAGCACCGAATTTGTTAAACTGTATTCTGAACAACGTGATTCCACATAGGTTAACATTACTTCAGTGCGCAGCTGCGCGAAAGACTATATAAAGGGGTACAGTGACTCTCGTCTAGCTCAGTGATGTTCAGTCCCGCACAGTTCATGGTGTTTTGGCAGTCACAAAACAGCGTTTAAAATGCACACACACACTCCTTAGAGAACACACATTTGAACCGAAGCCTAGTCTCCATCGCTGCCTAGTTTGAGTAGTATCAGAAGTCACCACGAGTA